AATGACCATATACCTCGGAACTGGCCGGACCTTCCTATAATTTTGTTAATGCCAATGGATAGTAGACTTCATAAGCTTTCCGTAGATACCCATATTGTGCCGGCAGAATTGTCCTGGAAGGCATATTGGCCAATGGAGTTATCCTGTTCCAAGGATACCTCCAGAAATGACCATATACCTCGGAACTGGCCGGACCTTCCTATAATTTTGTTAATGCCAATGGATAGTAGACTTCATAAGCTTTCCGTAGATACCCATATTGTGCCGGCAGAATTGTCCTGGAAGGCATATTGGCCAATGGAGTTATCCTGTTCCAAGGATACCTCCAGAAATGACCATATACCTCGGAACTGGCCGGACCTTCCTATAATTTTGTTAATGCCAATGGATAGTAGACTTCATAAGCTTTCCGTAGATACCCATATTGTGCCGGCAGAATTGTCCTGGAAGACATATTGGCCAATGGAGTTATCCTGTTCCAAGGATACCTCCAGAAATGACCATATACCTCGGAACTGGCCGGACCTTCCTATAATTTTGTTAATGCCAATGGATAGTAGACTTCATAAGCTTTCCGTAGATACCCATATTGTGCCGGCAGAATTGTCCTGGAAGGCATATTGGCCAATGGAGTTATCCTGTTCCAAGGATACCTCCAGAAATGACCATATACCTCGGAACTGGCCGGACCTTCCTATAATTTTGTTAATGCCAATGGATAGTAGACTTCATAAGCTTTCCGTAGATACCCATATTGTGCCGGCAGAATTGTCCTGGAAGGCATATTGGCCAATGGAGTTATCCTGTTCCAAGGATACCTCCAGAAATGACCATATACCTCGGAACTGGCCGGACCTTCCTATAATTTTGTTAATGCCAATGGATAGTAGACTTCATAAGCTTTCCGTAGATACCCATATTGTGCCGGCAGAATTGTCCTGGAAGGCATATTGGCCAATGGAGTTATCCTGTTCCAAGGATACCTCCAGAAATGACCATATACCTCGGAACTGGCCGGACCTTCCTATAATTTTGTTAATGCCAATGGATAGTAGACTTCATAAGCTTTCCGTAGATACCCATATTGTGCCGGCAGAATTGTCCTGGAAGGCATATTGGCCAATGGAGTTATCCTGTTCCAAGGATACCTCCAGAAATGACCATATACCTCGGAACTGGCCGGACCTTCCTATAATTTTGTTAATGCCAATGGATAGTAGACTTCATAAGCTTTCCGTAGATACCCATATTGTGCCGGCAGAATTGTCCTGGAAGACATATTGGCCAATGGAGTTATCCTGTTCCAAGGATACCTCCAGAAATGACCATATACCTCGGAACTGGCCGGACCTTCCTATAATTTTGTTAATGCCAATGGATAGTAGACTTCATAAGCTTTCCGTAGATACCCATATTGTGCCGGCAGAATTGTCCTGGAAGACATATTGGCCAATGGAGTTATCCTGTTCCAAGGATACCTCCAGAAATGACCATATACCTCGGAACTGGCCGGACCTTCCTATAATTTTGTTAATGCCAATGGATAGTAGACTTCATAAGCTTTCCGCAGATACCCATATTGTGCCGGCAGAATTGTCCTGGAAGGCACAGTTTGGTGTAAAATTGTCCTGGCACATAGTATTGTGCTACGAGTTAATAGGTGTATGTTGCCTTACTATCTTTGGAATATAATTTAATTATGATTATATAATGCATTTTGTAAGCGTTTTTATACGATAAGTAATTAAAAATCAAAAATATTAAGGAAAAAACAATTTTTATGTAGCTCTGTTAAGTTAACATAGCTATGTTATTTTCTCTGTTAAATTCGTGGCTCTAGTTAAATTCGGAATTTATCGTAACGGACCTTAGCTCCCATATGTATGTTTCATCCGATTTGGTGTTTAGGTCCCTCACATTCATAATGAAGATTGGATATGATTTGGATATAGCTTTCATACAGGGTGAGATGAAAAAACTGCAACCAACTTCAGACTGCTGTCATTTCTAAGCCACTCGTCCGACAGCTGTTAAAATTATTCCAGTGACAGTTCATTATATTGTTTACAAGCGTACAAAAGCATTTTGGTGAGAGTTTTCCAGACACAAAAGTTATTTGTGATGGAAATTAAGCGCGATGGTGTGATTTCTTTATATTTGGCTGGAAAACCACAAGTGGCTATCGATAGAGCACTCCAGCATTTAAATGTGAATAAATCTTTTGTGTCTCGTACCATCGCTCATTACCGTGATTCTGCTAGCGTAGCTCGACGTCAAGGAAGTGGACGGAAGAAAATAGCAACATCAGCAGAAATGGTTCGAAAAGTATAGAAGCGACTTGATCGAAACCCCCGTTGCAGTGGCTGAAAAATGGCTCGTGAACTGAATATTCCTCCTTCCATTCGGCAAATATTAAAAAATGAGCTAGGGGTAAAGCCATTAAAATTTCCAAAAAGTGCAAGAACTTACACCGCAACAGAAAGAAAATAGACTCAAAAGAGCTAAAGAGTTGCTTTGCTTAGCCGAAAGTGGTGAACTGCCGAATTTGGTTTTCTCCGATGAGAAAACATTCGATGTCAACAAACAAAATGATCGTGTTTACTTGCCAAAGAGGTCAGCTGAAAATGTGCACCTTCGGTTCGCCACCAGTCAGCAGAACTCAATCGCCGGCCATGGTGATGGTGTGGGCCGCCATAATAGCCGATGGTCGCTCTCCGGGTGTCTTAAAGCCTTGGACACGCAAACGTTTTGGTCGTAGACCTTGGACATTCCAACAGGACTCAGCACCATCGCACTCCGCAGGAGCCACCCAAGAATGGTTACAAAATGAGGTTCCCCGATGCATTTCCAGCGCATAATGGCCACCAAAATCTCCGGATACTAATCCGTGTCTGGAGTATTTTGGAAAGCAAGGTTGGCACTAAAAAATACCGAAGTGTCGATCACCTCAAGCAAGCGCTTCGCCGGGAATGGGCCAAAATACCGCAGAGCAACATTCGGGTTTCATTGTGACGGGTTCATTGGCCGTTTGAAGGCCATAATTCGTGCCAAAGGTGACCAATTTGAACAAATCTAAACGTATTCTAAAGTTTAATCCTATTTCCGACATTTTTTGCTTTCATTCGATAAAAATTAAAATTCGTAGAAATTATAGCGTTTGAGTTTGTTGCAGTTTTTATACCCTCCACCATAGTATGGAGGGTATATTAAGTTTGTCATTACATTTGTAACACCTCGAAATTAACCGTTGCACCCCACAAAGTATATATATTCTTGATCAGCATTAAATTCTATGTCGATTTTGCGATATCCGTCCGTCTGTGGAAATCACTTTAGCTTCCGAAAGAAATGAAATAGTTTTATAAAATTTTACTAAAATGTGTATTATGTCTGCAGGACTTTTGGTATTGAAAATGGGTGATGTAGGTCCACGTCTTCGTATAGCTCCTATATAATGGTACCTCCCGATATTCGGTATTTTGATGATTTTAGCGACATTATTTACCGGAACTATTTCAAATTTGGTATTTGAAGTTCGTAATGAATACTACAGCCTATGACAGAAAATTGTCTATGCAGGTCCACGTTTTGGTATAGCCTCCATATAATAGTACCTCCCGATATTCGGTATTTTGATGATTTTAGCGACATTATTCACCGAAATTGTTTCAAAATTGGCATTTGAAGCTCGTAATGGATACTACAGTCCATGACAGGAAATGGGCCATGTAGGTTCACGTCTTCGTATAGCCCCCATATAACTGTACCTCTCGATATTCGGTATTTTGATGATTTTAGAGACATCATGTACCGGAACTATTTCAAATTTGGTATTTAAAATTCGTAATACATACTACAGTCTAAGACAGAAAATGAGCCATGTAGGTCCACGGCAGCCTTTTAACGGTACCTTCCGATGTTCGGTATTTTGAAAATTTTAGCGAAATTATTTTCCGGAATTATTTCAAATTTTGTATTTGAAGTTAGTAATGAATGCTACTGCCTATGCCAGAAAATTGTCTGTGCAGGTCCGCGTGGTACCTCCCTATATTCGGTATTTTGATAATTTTAGCTACATTATAAACAATTTTTTTTTTCAGGTTTCGCATTTGAATATTGCAACAGCTTATGACAAAATTTGCCTATGCAGGTCCACGTCGTCGTATACACCCTAATATAACAGCTAAATTCGGTATTTTTAATATTTTAACAGAATTTTTAACGGATTTTATTGTTTTTGAGAATTGCCAAATTCGTTCCAAATGGTGGAGGGTATTCAAAGTTCGGCCCGGCCGAACTTACAGCATTTTTTAATTGTTTTATCTCACCCTGTATACTGAGAGGCAGATAGAAAATCGGATAGAAAGGCGGATGTACATAAATAAATCGCATTAAAATTTTATTGTTTTGAGAAATGTATATCCTTTACCGAGGTCTCAGACAAATATATCGAGGTATTTTAAAAGAAATTAGCAATTTAATTACCCCTCCCCCTTCTCTCCCTCTTTTGGTGTAGGATATAAAAATTCCCAACAAAAATGCATCCTTCCATATTAACTCATTTGCAGCATGAGTAGTGATTTGCCGATTTTACGTTTTTATTTTTTCAAAATCATTTTCAAATATTGTATATTAATTTTAATCTATATGCAATTTTATTACTAATACAAATACAAAAAATAAATTCAACTAAATCTAAACAAAAACACACGACATTTTGTCTAAACACGGCAAAAAGTGGGAATAAATAAATCAAAATAAATGAACAAGAACTCGTGTGTTTTCGTTTTGTTTCGTAAATAAAAGACAAAACGAAAAGAACAAGAGAAAACTTTTCGCTTTTTTCAAAATTTGTTTTACGCAATAAAAATAAATTTGATAATAATATATATTTCGAATATATTATTTAATTTTCATTACTATAATATTCGAAATTTAGAAAATTATAGAATTGAAAATGTGTTTTCCACGAGAATTCATTTTCAATTATTTCCAACTACCTTCTTCATTTTCATCCAGTACCCAGCCGGCATTGTGCATGATTTCCTTTCCCGTGCGTAAAGCCAAAGTAGCCATTTTTGGTTTGAAAACTCAAGCAGGACTCCGGGTAAATTTTTAATTTTTTTTTTTAATTTTTTTGGGATTTTGAATATTTTTCGCTTAAATTTTCACAGGTTCACATGGGTAATTGGATTTTTTCCTTCGCTTTTTTTTCGTTAATTTTTCAGGCTATTTTAAATTTTCAAATTTTCCCATTCATTTGCTTTTCTCTTTTTTTTGGTTTGAAAAAAAACTGGCACACGAGTCTTTTTGGCCGCACTTTCTTGTTTCGGATAACTTAAACGTACCGCTGCAAAAATTCGACTGCCAAATTCAAAATCTCTGAGCACAAATTTTCACCGTTGTTTTTCTTTTGATTTTCAAAATCATTTAGCGTTTTTTGCTCTAGTTTTCTCAAAATCAGACACAAGATGTTGTGATTTTTTACCATGGCATTAGGGGGATTTTGAAATGAGATTTTGCTGTGTGTGTCTTCTCTCTGCTCCTGAGATGAGCGTAAAAAAAAGCGTTTATTTTAAAAATAAATTTTGAAACATTTACAAAAATGTTTAGTTTGCCGTGTTTTTTTTTTGTTCTGGCTTTTCGAAATTTCCACCAAGTAAATTGTCGCCTTTCTTTCCCCTCTCTCTCTCACTCACACACACACATTGATGGTGGCTTTTTTTCACCTCAAAAATTAAGATTTTCTTCTGCGGTTTTTTTTTTTTGAAATTTTGTTTTCTTTTTCTTCTCTGTTTTGAAAATGTATTTTTGTTTTGCCCGTTTTTTTTTCGAACCATCAACCGTTCGATCAGCTGTCTGCCGATCATCCTCACCATAGAATAGTTTTTTTTAGTTTTTCATTTTTTGTTGTTGTTGTTGTTGTTCTTTCACCACATCTCTCTCATCATTGTTGACATTTCATCTAATTTCCCATTCAATGTTTTGCTTTGGCATCTTCTTTGTTTATATTGTTTTGTAATTTTATGCGTTTTGTTGTGGTTTTTGTCATTTCTCCATTTGGGTGGTTGTTGTTGGTTTTGTATTCTCCGGATCATTTTTTGAAATCGGCCCAAGCACGTGCTGCCCCATATATATTTTTTTCTATTTTTTTAGGGGGCGTTTTATGAAGGGTTCATATTTTGCGGTAAATTATTGTCTATGTCTGACATGACTTTACAAATGGCCCAAGCCAATAATTGACGTCAGAGGTTGTCAGGGGATAATATGTCATGTCAACGCTTAAGTTTCGTGTTGGGGGAAAAATTGTATCAATATTTAGATAAAAAGTATTAAGTTTTATAAAAAATAGTAACTATTTGTATTAGTTTTATTTTTTTGGCAGGGGTTTTTTATACCCTACCCCATATAGTAGTAAGGGAAGGAGGAGAAGGAAGCTAAATAGATCTATAGTGACCTTTGGGAACCTTCATAGAATTACTTTCTGATTCGATGTATGCTTGTCTGTCTATCTATTTTTGTGAACAAAATGCAGGTCGCATTTATTACCAGATTGAGATGAAATTTTCCCAAGGAGGAACCCTTTTGAAATTGGTGAGAATTGGTTCAAATTTAGATATAGCATACGATTTCGGTTTAATTGTGCACTAAATGGCCAATATCAGACCAAATGAGCTGAATGTTTGGCACATCCGACCGAATTCAAACTAGAAGCAAGTACATTAAATTTCGAACGTACCAGAAGGAGTGGACCGATTTATGTTAATAAAAATATGGTGATGTGTGTAATTTGAAAAAAAACCGCATGCTTATTTCAGATTTTATGATCGTTTTGGTTATTCAAAACTTTGACCCTTTGCGGGGGAGGTACCAGTAGGAATGGTCCGATCTCTACCGTCTTTATAACAGATCAGATAACAGATAGATAGAAACATTGAGATCTGACAAGTCTAAATGGAATCGGATATTAATTTCGCGTTTTATGAGCTTCATGGATATTCAAAATTTCGACCCTTTGTGGGGGAGGTACCAGTAGAAATGGTCCGATCTCTACCATCTTTATAACAGATTTTGTGTTGGTGGAAATATTCAAATTTGCCAAGTCTAAATGGAGCTTCAAAAATACGGATATTCAAGATTTCGACCTTTTGTGGGGGAGGTACCAGAAGGAGGGGACCGATAAATTCCCTCTTAATAGCAGATCTTAGATTTATAAAAATATTGGTATGTGTGAGATTTGAAGACAATCGGACACATACATCACATTTTATAAAAGTTGTAATTATTCAAAATTTTGACCATTTGAGGGGGAGGTACTTGATGGAGTGGATCGATAGTGTCCATTTTCGCACCTGACGTAGCACTGATAGAAATATTAGGATTTGCAAAGTTGGAGCAAAATCGGATTATCATTTATCTTTCTGTGCAGAAAATATATTTTTGGAAATTCCGATCTTTTGTGGAGGAGGTACCAGAAGGAGTGGACCGATATATTCCATCTTAACACCAGATCTTAGGTTTATAAAAATATTGGGATGTGTGAGATTTGAAGACAATCGGACTCATACATCACATTTTATAAGAGTTACAATTATTCAAAATTTCGACCCTTTGTGGGGGAGGTGCTTGATGGAGTGGATCGATAGTGTCCATTTTCGCACCTGACCTAGCACTGACACAAATATAAGGATTTGCAAAGTTGGAGCAAAATCGGATTATTATTTATATTTTTGTGCAGAAAATATATTTTTTGAAAATTTGGATCTTTTGTGGGGGAGGTACCAGAAGGAGTGCATCGATATTGCCCATCTCCGAACTCGAATTAAGTTTGACAAAAATATTACGATGTATCAAGTTTGGACCAAATCGGATGCTCCCTTCGAGACTTATCGTACGCACCAGATAGCCAGACTGACAGACGGACGGACATCGCTAGATCGACTCCAAATACTCTGAAACGGATTTGATCCAAAGAGACCTAGGGTCTAAAACCGTTATTTCGATTAGGCACGTCCAATGATATATACCCTCTGTAGCCATATGACTGAGGGTATAAAAATCCGAAAACTACCACTTAACAGAAAACCGTCATATGGGGACTATATCAAGGCAAGGACCTTCATACGAATTTTTTTGTCATAGACTGTAGGATACCTATTACGAACTTCAAATATGAAATTTGAAACGATTCCGGTGATTAATGTTGCTGAAATTGTCCAAATACCGACTATCGGGAGGTACCGTCATGTGGGGGCTATACGAAGGTATGGATCTGCATACGAAATTTTTGTGGTAGGCTGTAGAATACCTATTACGAACTTCAAATACGAAATTTGAAATGATTCCGGCGATTAGGCTGTAGTACCCATTACGAACTTCAAGTATGAAATTTTAAACGATTCCGGTCATTAATGTTGCTGATATCGTCAAAATACCGAGTATCGGGAGGTACCGCCATATGGGGGCTACACGAAGACATGGATCTGCATAGGAAATTTTTTGTCATAGGCTGTAGGGTACCTATTACGAACTTCAAATATGAAATTTGAAACGATTCCGGTGATTAATGTTGCTGAAATCGTCAAAATACCGAGTATCGGCAGGTACCGTCATATGGGGACTACACGAAGACGTGGACCAGATTACGACATTTTTTGTCATAGGCTTTAGGATACCTATTACGAACTTCAAATTTAAAACGATTCCGGTGATTAATGTTGCTGAAATTGTCAAAATGTCGAATATCGGGAGGTACCGTCATATGGGGAATATACGAAGACATGGACCTGCATACGAAATTTTTTGCCATAGGCTGTAGGATACCTCTTACGAACTTCAAATACCAAATTTGAAAGAATTCTGATGAATATTGTCGCAAAAATCATCAAAATACCGAATATCGGGAGGTACCGTCATATAGGGGCTATACGAACGGGATCATTTCAATTCTATTTTCTTATATCCTAGTGTCCCTAAAAGTAAACATTGTAATATTTATCCTCCAGACACAATATAATAAAAGTAGGGTTGTATAGCTGCGTTTATCCATATCAATCGATGAATCATCCAAGAAGTCCTCTCGTAAATTTTTCTAGGTACAAAGAAACATTCCGACATTTCTTCAAGGAAACTTTTAAAAATTTTCCATTAGCTCCAAGTTCATTGACCAACCATTTCCATGATTAGTTTTAAACAAAATCAACTCATTACACAATATTTACATTTCATTTGATTCCGATTAATTGAAATATACATTTGAACAGTTTGCCCTTCACTTTTGTTCGCCATCGATCAAGTACAGGCAGTTACATTTGACCTTCTTCCCCCCCCCCCCTCAATTTCCATTGAAAATAAACAAAAATAAAACCATTTATGGTCTAATGCCCTCTATTTTATGTTTATAAGAATTTTCCCCTTTCACACTTCCGCTTCAGCGCGCCCACCTGTTCTGAGATGAGAGAAACTTGGCACAGCTTCTGAAAATATTGTGGCATGCCTTGCGGAGAATCGTGTTGGGCAATATCAAAACAAATATATAGATCGGTATGGAAATCTGTGTGGTGTTTTCTTAGATTTTTGTGAATGGAGATGTGCGGGGAGTATGTTATGTGTGTTCGCATGTGCGTAAACGCAAAAGTGAGAACATTTATTTTTGGAAAATGTAGACCTTTAGTCTGTGATGACTTGTGCGGCATAATTGATATGAATGGAAATTTGTTGGGGTTACTTTATTCAATATTTGCAGTGGATTTGGACCGGCCTGTGATTTAGAATGCTGCAAATGACACTTCGATATAGATCACAGATCTGTGATAGGGAACTACAGTTTGTTAGATGGGACAACAAGGACGTTGATAAAAAAGTTGTGACCCCAACCGTCGACGCCTAAAAATGTTTTGTAGCAATGATGTCGTATAATGCCAAGCTAGATTTTTTATACCCTCCACCATAGTATGGATGGCATATTAAGTTTGTCATTCCGTTTGTAACACCTCGAAATATACATTTCCGGCCCCACAAAGTCGATTTAGCAGTGTCCGTCCGTCTATCCGTCTGTGGAAATCACTCTAGATTCCGAGTCAAATGAAGTAGGTTGATAAAATTTTACTCAAATGTGTATTATGTCTGCAGGACTTTTGGTATTGCAAATGGGCCATGTAGGTCAACGTATTCGTATAGCCCCCATATAACGGTACCTTCCTATATTCGGTATTTTGATGATTTTAGCGACATTATTAACCGGAATTGTTTAAAACTTGGTATTTGAAGTTCATAATGGATACTACAACCTATAACAGAAAATTGTCTGTGCAGGTCCACGTTTTCATAGAGCCCCCATATAGCGGTACCTCCCAATATTCGGTATTTTTATGATTTTAGCGTCATTATTCACCGGAATTGTTTCAAATTACGTATTTAGAGTTCGTAATGGGAACTACAGTCTGTGACGGAAAATTGTCTATGCAGGTCCAGGTCTTCGTATAGGCCCCACATACCAGTACCTCCCTATTTTCGGTATTTTGACGAGTTTAGGTACAATACCCACAGAAATTGTTTCAGATGTTGTATTTGAAGTTCGTAATGGATGCTACAGCCTGTGACAGAAAATTGTCAATGCTGGTGCAGGTCTTCGCACACCTCCGATATAACATTACCTCCCTATATACTATATTTTGACGATTTTAGCTACATTTTTGACCGTTTATTACACTTTCGAATTTGCATGCGCTTGCATGAGGTGATCGACACTTTGGTATTGTTTAGTGCCAACCTTGCTTTTCAAAATACTCCAGACACAATAGTCCAACGGATTGGTATCCGGAGATTTTGGTGGCCATTGTACGCTGGAAATGAAGCGAGGAACCTTATTTTTTAACCATTCTTGGGTGGCACGTGCTGAGTCCTTTTGGAATGTCCAAAGTCTGCGGCCAAAATGTGTGCGTGTCCAACGTTTTAATACACCCTCATGAATATTTTCGCGATAATATTCGGCATTTATTCTAATGCCATGGTCGATTAATACGAATGGAGTGCGACCATCGGCTGTTATGGCGGCCCATACCATCACCATGGCCGGCGCAAGGTTCTTCGATTCTGGTGGCCAACCGCTGGTGCACATTTTCAGCTGACCACTTTGGCAAGTAAACACAATCATTTTGTTTGTTTACAACTTGCCGGACAACGAATGTTTTCTCATCGGAGAAAGCCAAAATCAGAAGTTCACAACTTTCGGCAAAGCGAAACAACTCTTTAGCTCTTTTGAGTCTATTTTCTTTCTGTTGCGGTTTAAGTTCTTGAACTTTTTGGAAATTCAATGGCTTTACCCCGAGCTCATTTTTCAATATTTGCCGAATGGAATATTGCGATATTTTCAGCTTTTTCGGCTCGTCATTTTTCGGAGCTAAAATCTTACGCCGTAGCACCCAAAAAACATTATAGGGACGAAATGCACTACGCATTGATCGACACCAATGGAGGTTCAGGCAATTTACTCAAAGACCAATTGGAAAGTCTAGGTGATGATTCAGTTCCAACCATGAGCAGCGGAATGAAAAAAACGGCAGAATGTTATTTTAACTCGCAGCGCATGCAAACATAACCGCCCTAAAGGAATTTTTCAGGCGTTAAAAGGCGGAATGTCTTTCACAGAGCGGAAAATGAAGATGGTACTCTTCTTGTGATTCGAGTTGACGATCTCTATATGGTCCGGCATCTATGAGCTTTATTTCCTCTTTCTTGGATGTGGTCTCTCCAATTAATTTTCCTAGCTAGAATTATACCCAGATATTTAACCTCATTGGAAATGTTGATTGTCTTATTCAGGAAGACTGGATGATCGAATATTTTCCGGGTTTATATTAAGACCTCTTGGTCTGGGCCAGTTGTGTGCGATTTTCAGAGCCGAATCGACCCTTCTGCACAGCAAGTTAGGGTTCTTTCCCCTCAGAAGTATTATAACGTCGTCTGCATAGCAGACTGGTTCAAATGCTTCCTTGTTTCCACAGCTCCAACATTGGCTCGCACGTGATTTATTAAGAAGACATATGGGAAGGTCAAAAAAGTCACTGGCCTAACATTCTGGTAGCCAATAAAAGGAATCGTAAACAATAGTGGAATGACTACCTTGGATAACACACCGTATACATGGTAGACATCAGTCCGAGAAAATAATGGACAATTGCTTCCGCAACTTCGTAAACACCGCCGTAAACAATGACGGAGGGATTATCTCGGATAACACACCATATAAATAATTGTCACCCGTCTAAGGAAATAATAGACAATTCCTTTCGCAACTTGGTTACAGCAGTGGAAGGATTTGGAAATAACGTGCCCCCGGTTAAATTCGATAAGGAATCAGATGGGTTTAACATCAAGGCACATCGCTGGGAAGAAAATGGATTTGTTGACCCAGGCATGGTCGAATAAACTATAGCAAAAACGGCAGCAAAGAAGTTTTATGGCATCGATAAGGTCCCTGATATTTCTGTAAAGAAGACTGGCGAAGCATCATATTTTTACTTAAAATTGGTCTGTTCCAGATTCTCCCTTTATGACATCGAAAAAATAGCACAGTCTTCCCGGTTCTGGAACAAAGCAAATATTGTTTAAGCAATGCCTCAACATCGGCTATTTTCCAATAGCCTGGAAAGAGTCACTTGTGATACCAATTCCTAAGCCAAGAGCAGATTCAACCCTGAGAGGGAGCTATAGACCTATATCCCTGTTGTCGACCTTTGGGTAGCTGTTTGAGCACTTCCCACTTGACTTGTATGGGATTTCTTTAGAAGAGTCTGGGGGGGTCACGTATTTCTCCTCACAAAAGTGTCTTTTATGATCAGATAACGCATTCAAATTCGGCAACAAATTCAAGGCAGATTGGTCTAACATCAATGCAAATCGCTGGGAGGAAAATGGATTTGTTGATTCAGCCATGAAGAAGTCTCGAGAAGGTCCCTGATATTTCTGAATGGAAGGCTGGTGAAGTCATTATCCGACTATTTTCCAATAGCCTGGGAAGAGGTACTAGTGATACCAATTCCTAAGACCGGAGATGATGCAACGCTGAGGGGAGGCTATAGACCGATATCCCTGTTATCGCTCTTTGGGTAGCTGTTTGAACACTTCTTACTTGACTTTTATGGATTTATTTAGAAGAGTAGCGACAGGTCACGTTTTTCTTCCGATAAAAGTATATTTTATGATCAGAAAATTCACCTATATTCCAGCCTCTCGAATAGAGTTACAAATTTCAAAAACTGCTGACTGGTAGTGGTAATTTTTTGTGATGATGACTTGGGGACCAATATTTCAATTTTATAAAACACCTCAAAGACCTGTGCATTTTCTCTCGTCAATCCAACCAAGACAATCTTGCCATTCGAAAAATAAAACCCCAATTTCTTTTGTTGTTTTTTTATAAAATATTTTTTTTTATTTACTGTTTCTTTTTTTGTTTTTAGAAATATTAAATTAATACAAAAAGAAAAAATTACTTCATTACATTTTTTATCGCTGGTTTTTTAGTAAACTCGTACGCACTTACAAAACAAAAATATTAATAAGAGAAATTAATAATATTATTAATAATTATTAAGAACTTAAAAACTTAACATTATCGAGCGGTAAGAGAGAAATGAAAATTGTTAAAGCTTTAAAGCTAAGCCAACTTTTGTTCAATAACCATTATTGCTGTTATATGTTTCATACACTTATCAAAATATATGATTAGAATTCCATAAAGAAAAAAGAAAAACAAATTATTATTTTTTATTATTTAATAAAAATTAAACCTTACATAACTACAAATCGAAGGTATGTAATTCGTAATTATTTCCAACAAGTGTTGTTTTTTTTCCTTTATTTGATGTTTAATTTTAAAGAGTGCACCTTTTTATTGTTGAGCTTTCATAAAGCTGAGCGGAAAGATAATATATATGCTGACTCTTTTCTTGTCGTTTTCCTTCCCGTTTTTCGATTTTTTTTCACTTAAAATTTACTTATATCTCATTCAATTAGCTTCCTACTTTTTTTTAAGGATTACTGTTTAGGATTAGAAAATTATTATTATTAGTAAAAATATTTTCTTCATTTTTGTTGTTGTTGCTGTAATCGTTTCCTCTTCCTCAGGCTACATCATAAGTTAGAAGTATTGCATTTGGTTAATACGGACATTTAGTTGTGTGTGGTCTCTTCTCCTTAAATAGACACTTAAAAATAAAACTCTCGTAAATCGTAGCATTTGCTGGTTGTTATTGTTGTTGTTTATTTTTTACGATGTAAATTCGTCGATAGTCCCGATTTAGAAGCGCTTGTGGTCGATGAATTCCTCAACGATGACTGGTCGTCTTTCGTGTAGTCCAAATGGCGTCGTGTACCATTTCGCGTTGACAGTGGTTCGGATTTTCGACTTGAGCGTGTCATGGTACTGCTGCCGCCATGCGCTGGTGGTTTTCGGGGCAGTGTTGCCATCTGGAAATAAAAGGTAATAATAAGCGGTTAGAGATGAAATTTTCTGAGATGAAAAGAGGACATTTAATAGCTATGGTTCACTATGGCGTCTCCAGGAAGCGTATGATAACTATAAGGTAATATAGGTCATGACTTCCCCGAAATTCTTGCACATACAAAGAGGAATTGAAAAGTCCGCGATAAGAGAGAAATTTGATAATATGAATGGTGTTCACGGATATCGGGACTATCTGACGTAGAAGAGAGCAGATATGGTGACCTTTTGGGTTATTCGAAAAATATTAGAAAGAATATTCCGTCGTTACATGTGATATGTTTGAGTTAGGTTATGAGCTGTAACCTAGGCTATGAACTGATAAGCAAGCGCAGCATGTTTGCTTGCCACATTTGAGATAACTATGCGTGTTTATGATCTCTCCATAAGACTTATTACGGGGTGGTGCCTAGGCATGTGTACATTTTGTAATTGCTCTCTCTCTCTCTCTCTTGGCCTCTCTATTTCACATTTCATGTTAAGTTAGGTTAAGTCATATAATCATAAGTAGTTCTTAAAAAATATTTTTGTAATAATTGAAGGCCGCCCGGCAGATCCTAATCGACATTCAATACTCAAGGCCGATATAAGGAACTTAAGCATAACAATCACACAATTGATAATTACTCACGAAAAAGATTCTTACAAGGGCTACTTGGAAAATATCGAGGTGAAGTCGAAGACATATGAGAAGGTCAAAAGAGTTGCTGGCCTAGCATTCCAGCAGCCAATAAAAGGAATCGTAAACAGTGATTGAGTAACTAATTCGGGTATACACCACATTCCGGATAGTCATCAGCTCGAGGAAATAATAGACAATTCCTTCCGCAACTTGGCCAACGCAGTAGTGGAAGGAATAGGAAATCACGTGCCCTCTGTTGAACTCAGCAACGAATTCAAAGCAGATGTGTCCAAAATCAATGCCCGTCGCTGGGAGGAAAATTGATTTCCAGACATGGTCGGATAAACTATAGCAAGAAGTGCAGCGAAGAAGTCTTGTGGCATCGATAAGGTCCTTGATATTGCCGTATAGAAGGCTGGTGAAGCCATCATCCTTTTACTTATAATATTGTTTAATCACTGCCTCAACATCCGCTATTTCCCAATAACCTGGAAAGAGGCAACAGTGATACCAATTTCTAAGCCCGAAGCAGAGGCAACGCTGAGGGGACCATCACCTTTTTTCTTACAAAATTGTGTAATCTCTGTTTCAACATCAGCTATTTCCCAATAGCCAGGCACCAGTGATACCAATTTCTAAGCCCGGATCAGATGCAACCCTGAGGGGGAGCTATAGACCGACATTCTTGTTGTCGCCTTTTGGGTAGCTGCTTGAACACTTCCTACTGCTCCGAATCAACTGGATCATCGAAGAGAGGAGGACGGTAAATGACGAATATTCGGATATAGAGCAAAACACTCTACACCCCATGCCCTAGTGGCCCTTACAACATATGTTACGGATGGTTTCAAGTCCATAATGGGAACAATTGCAGTTGGTCTGGACTTTATCAAAGCCTTTGATAGGGTAAGGTAACATGACATTTTATACAAACTGCAATCGTTTAGATTCAATGGAAAAACCTGTCGCATGTTAGCAAGTTTTCTCCAGAATCGAGTCATTTGGGTTAGAGTTAATGACAAACTGGCTGAACAACGATTGGTGTAAGCGGGGGTTCCTCAGGGATCACTGCTGAGACCGGTCTTGAACACTACGTTTGCTAGCGACATCACTGGAACGCCGGAAAGAGGATAACTGCTAATGCACCCCGATAACATTTTATTGGCTCTACGAGGTCGCTTCGAAAGCACACTGGAAGGAAGGTTGAATGCGTACAGAGATACGCTCCACAATTACTTAAACAAATGGGGGGCTTAGCCTCAACGTTTGAAAGTGCGTATCTGTGGTTTACAAAGGAAAATCAGAGTCTACAACAAAGGGCTTCTGAAGATACATCCTAGCGATCAAAGTTGGTGACCAACTAATTGGAAATTCCGATTGGATGAAATACCTGGGAACAAGGAACATATAGCTTGAATGTACGCTGGAGGTTGCTGTAGAGGTCAATGTTGGCCTTATAGAAAGGTTGCTGATAATGAATGGGCAGGTTTAACGAAACCTAAACTTGAAGGATGATGAGAATATAGTATTAATACCGTGTCCTGCAAAATCTATGGCAGGAACTGAAGTCCGAATTGATGGCAGCTGGGGAGGGAGCACAGACAGTAGTTTTTTTTTTCTGCCTGTGCTCCAGTTTTTAAGGTTTGACTTCTTCGAAAAAAGCTGCTGAGAGCAAACGCGATAAGTAGGCTGCGAAAATACTCAAAAATTTCAGCAAGGTCGAAAGAGTTGTAGTAGAAGACACCATTGCAAAAGTTGAAATACTGGGAGAATCAAATCCTGGAGAGCTTAAAGAGGTATTTATCAATCAATGAAGAATCTAAGTGAAAACGGACAGAAGTCAAAGATGAGCCGTTCGCCAGCTAGGTGAAGACGAAGAAGGATAGAGGTTTGTGACTCTGGAATAATAACGTGCTGAAGGAAGCTCTAGTTGTCTGGAGGAGGATGATGCCTAGCGAAAGTGGGGCAGTTAGAAAAATAAAGACTGGAGTGGCAGGAAATTATGTACTCTTGCACTGCTAGAACGACAAGCTGTCCATAGTCTGTAAGATGGTGTTGCCTGAGAAGGATATCACCATTGGCTTCAGAGAGAAGACGACACATGAAGAGGATTCACGCCAACCAGGTAAAGGAGCGAGTTGAGGAAAGCCGGTAGACCTCGCGGCCGGTGAGTTGCCAAAAAGCAATTTGAGATTGGAGCTTTCAGTTCCTAAACTGAGGTGTTTGGTGAAGGGGTGCCCCCAGCATCCAACGTCTGGATCCAGACACCAATACCCCCTTTTCCTTACTCCAGTCACTGCCAGAAATAAATTTCAGTGCCGAGCTCTGCGCCGTGAAATAACCTCAGCTAACGGAGGGACTTATATGTTGAGAGTAAACCGAGGTAACCCCAGATAAACCACAACCATTGCATTTTCCATGACGAACTCTGACCACCCACTGCAAGCTATCTTTAGATAACGGTGGGTCTTTCCTCGCATTTGCTCTTCAACCGAACCAAGGGGTTGATTTTCGTGTATTTTCCTCTCTCACTCGAACCAACCGATGGGTTTCTTGTCATACCAACCCAATTCCCGTTTCCCATCCTTACCGTTTTATTTTGTTCCTGAGAATAATTGATTTCATAGCCTTCACTGATCAATTTTGGTTTCCACGGTGCCAGCATTGAGACCGAACGTGATACGGTGCGTGTCATTGGCTGTAGTGGTTGATTCGTCGCCTTGGATTTGTTCGAACGCAAGTCGTCACGCGATATGGAGCGGCGTCTCAACTGATATGGCTGTGGTATGGCACCTACGGTTGTGGCATGCAAATAGACCACACTGCGTTGACTATGGAGGCTGGATTCGCCCTCAGTACCGGAACTTTCGGCAGGGAAACGATCACGTTCTCTGCAAGGATTTACCAATTTACTATACATTGCGATGGGATAAAAAATGGACCTACCTTGAATAAGACATTGCTCTTCGTTCAGCACTACGTGCTGGCTTGGGTGGACCCATCAGATAGGGTTGGGTCCTCCTTGGCTGATGTTGATGCGACGGCGCCTGAGGTGGTGGCTGAGTACCGCTACTGGTATCGCCACCATTTGGTGTCGACGATATTGGCCTCTCGTTACTGCGGCGATATGAATGCTCATCATATCGCGTTGTACGATCCAAGCGATCCCGTGACAGTGTGCGCGCTGCCATTAAACCTGGTCTCAATTTTGTTTCCTGATCTTCGGTCTCGGAACCACTTTCCGATATGTGATCCAGCTCACGTGAACGTGAGTAATGACGTCTGCGACGAAAATCAACTTCATCGTTACCCTGATTATCCAAGTTGTGCATGGAATTACTCTTATGACGGGTGGAAGAGCCTGTTGCCGTTGTGGCACTGCTGCTGGTCGTGGTGCTGGTTAGGCCCAACGATTTGCTGCCCGATGCCAAGCTATGGCGATAATCATCCCGCTGCGGACTATCGGAACGTATGCGATCAATGTGATAGGCACTTTGGGAATACTTTTGCGAACGATTTAGATTACTGGATATTGGCGGACGAGATCTGCAGCGAAAAGAAACAAATACCAAGTTAAATTTCTTAAATCCTTGAGAATTTCCTAACTGTTCATACTTATGCAACGTTGTGCCCTTGGATATTGTGGGCGGATTCGAATCCAAATCTGTATCACCGAAAAATCTTAGATTTTTGGTTGCGGCTGGGGCTTGAGGTGTTGACGTACTGTGATGGCTATTTTTGCTTCTCTTCAAACTCGAGGTTTCCGTTGTGGAGTTGAGCTGTGAAAAGAGGGGAACGGGGGTTAGAAGGGGTATAAAATCTGTTTAGGTTTTTGTGGATCTCTTACCTTCTCCTTGGATTTACTTTTGGCTCGGCGATCCAGCGACTTAAACCAACTGGTCTTCTCCGGCTTAGCCAAGGGCGACTCTTTGCGATTTTTATCCGATGAGGTACGTTTCAATAAAAGTGGACTAGCTTTTGGGGTCGACAAACGACGACGCATGGATATGTCAATGGCCTGGAAAAAAAGAGAAATGGAAGATTTAGAAACTGGCCGAAAACCTTAAGAAATTTTGCAAAAATTCATGGGGAAGAAAACGTTCTGTAATGTTGACTTAATAGCTTTAAAATGATGTAGAATGAATACAAGTCATGAGATCCGGAAAAAAGAGATCTGTATAATGCTTTAAAATCAAATAAAATGCTGTGGAAAATGTTCAAGACCTGAAAAAGGCCTTCCAGAAAAAAGTCCTCTAAAAACCCTGTATAAATCTTTGGTCATTCAAGACCTGTAGGTGTCATCTAAGCCAAACAAATTCTTCGAATCATGTACATAATTCTGAGGTGATGTAAAAATTTTGAAAAATATTAAGACATGTAAAAGAGCTACAAGAAAGTCATACAAGCCCTCAAAATGTTGCCTAAGCCCAACATGGCTTGTAAACCGGTTTCAACCCATAGAAGGCTGCAAATGGTCATCAAACTATAGAAAACATATTTAAAGCCTTAAAGCCATGGCATATTTATAAACTGTCTTCATACCTTAGGAAACATGCTAATCAAGCCATTCAAGTCATACAAGACCTACATGATGCCATTTAGCCGCAGAAGATTTTTAAAAGACCTTCAGTTTATGTTTATGTGCAATATCTAAAAGATATTTTTATGACCTGAAAAATTTGTTAGTTGAGCTATAGAAAACCTTTCAAATGGTTTCAAGCCATAGAAGACTTGCAAATGGTCGTGGTCTACAAGCCATACCAGACATGTAAAATATTTCTGAGCCAAATACGACCTGTAAGTGGTCCTTCAAATATTAAAAATATTTTTTAAGCCTTCAAGCCATAGCATATTTATCAACCGTCTTTGAGCCTTAGAAAACATGTGGAAGGCCTTCAAGGCTTTCAAGTCATACAAGACCTGAATAATGTCATTTAGCCGTAGAAGATTTTTTTAAAGACCTTCGATTTATGAATCAGTGCAATGTCTAGAAGATGTTTTTAAGACCTGAAAATGGCTCTCAAGGCATAGACGATTCGGACAAGTCATGATGTTCAAGCCATTGAAGACAAACCAAAAGCCATACAGGCCTTTTATGACTTGAAGTTCGTTACAGGTTATCTTGGTTTTGATTAGGCAGAATTTTTATGATTTGAGGTAAGTGACCTCAACTATTGAGGACATTTTTAAATCCTTCAAGCCATAGCATATTTATAAACCGTCTTTGAGCCTTAGAAAACATGTGGAAGTCCTTCAAGCCTTTCAAGTCATACAAGACCTGAATAATGTCATTTAGCCGTAGAAGATTTTTTTAAAGACTTTCGATTTATGGATCAGTGCAATGTCTAGAAGATATTTTTAAGACCTGAAATAGGTCCTCAAGGCATAGACGATTCGGACAAGTCATGTTGTTCAAGCCATTGAAGACAAATCAAAAGACATACAGGCCTATTATGACTTGAAGTTCCTTACAGGTTTTCTTGGTTTTGATAAGGCAGAAAATTTTTGGCAGAATTTTTTATGATTAGAGGTAAGTGACCTCAACTATTGAAGACATTTTTAAAGCCTTCAAGCCATAGCATATTTATAAACCGTCTTTGAGCCTTAGAAAACATGTGGAAGGCCTTCAAGCCTTTCAAGTCATACAAGACCTGAATAATGTCATTTAGCCGTAGAAGATTTTTTTAAAAACCTTCGATTTATGGATCAGTGCAATGTTTAGAAGATGTTTTTAAGACCTGAAAATGGTCCTCAAGGCATAGACGATTCGGACAAGTCATGATGTTCAAGCCATTGAAGACACATTAAAAGCCATACAGGCCTTTTATGACTTGAAGTTCCTTACAGGTACTCTTGTTTTTGATTAGGCAGAAAATTTCGGGCAGAACTTTTATGATTTGAGGTCCGTTTAGAGGTCATCTTTGCCTTTAAAACCCCTATGCAGTGCTTCGTGTATTGAGGATCTTTTACGTGCCTACTTTGATTAGAATTTCATTGAATATTTCTTTATGAGCTTTCACTGACATTTTATCATGTCAGAGGACTTTCTGCATGAGTTTTTTTCGTTATGAAGGCCATTGACCGGTCCTCAAGGTTTTTTTAGGCATTTTACAGATTTTCTGCAGTTTGATTTTCTATACCAGCTTAGAAAGCTTGAAATTGTCATTTCAAGCCCTGCGATGCTTTTTGTCATCAAGGCTTAGGCGACATAAATAATGTGTTCTCAAGTCATATAAGACCAAAGACATTTTTCTTAAGCCGTAGAGTGTTAGTAATTTGTTTTCAAGCCTAAAAGACTAATTGATGTTCTTTAAGACCACATTCGTATCCAATCGTTAATGCTCTACAAGCTACATAATACCGGCTTGGAAGGCTTGAAATTATCATATTAAGTCATAATATATTTTTTTCTTTGATCTAGGCTTAGACGACATGCATAATGCCTTCTGTATCCATATAAGACCAGATAACGTAAGGAGTTTACAAGCCATAAGACTTATTGAAGTTCTTTAAAAACATATTAGTATTCAATCTGTAAGTGCTCTTCAAGCCATATAATACCGGTTTAGAGGGCTTGAAATTGTCATATTTTTCCATCAAGGCTTAGGCGACATGAATAATACCCTTTCAAGCCATATGAGAACAAAAACCGATTTTTTAACTATAGAGGAACAGTTAGAGGATTTCAAGCCATAAAAGACTTATTCTCTGAGACCATATTTATATTCAATCTGTAAATGCTCTTCAAGCCTTACAAATCTGGCTTAAAAGGCTTGATATTTCATTTCATGCCATATACGACTTTTTGTCATCAAGGCTTTGGAGACATTAACAACGGCTTGTCAAGCCATATAAGACCAGATAACATAAGAGGTTTTCAAAGCATAAAAGACTTACTGTAGTTTTTTAAATCATATTCGTATTCAATTTTTAAGTGATCTTCAAGCCATATAATAACGGCTTAGAAGGCTTGAAATTATCATCTGAAGTCATACAAGACTTTTTTTCATCAAGGCTTTGACGACATGAATAACGTCTTCTCAAGCCATATTTGACAAAATAAAGTCTTCAGGGCATTGAATATTCATAAAATGTTCTGAAACCATAAAAGTTAGATAAAAGATCTTCACACCGATGACAGGCCTGTTAAGGTCTAGAAACCTGTTGTTCAAGCCATCGAAAACCTCTGAGGATCTTCATGTCACAAAAGACTGTATGACCCCTTCTTATAGAAACACCCCCCTTCAAGTTCCGTTATCAATAGAGATTCTCTTTATGTTCTTCTGCCCTGGTTCTCACAGTCTAAATAACATAACTCCATATTTCAACCACATTACATTTAAATGTTTCACCTTAGATGTGGTAATCTTCCATTAATATTTCGTTCATTCATTCATTCGTTCTGCTTCTTCCTCTGCAAAATTCCAAACCACAATTGGGTTAAAACCAAAAAAAAAAAAAAAAAACAAAAATCCCAAAAACAAGTTTAAATATTTACTAATCCAAATCGAAATAAAAACAAACGAAATGTGATAACCATAAAATACCTCCGCCAAAGCACTTCATTTATGCACATAACAACCAGCAACCACAACCAATGTCTTCTTGGAGGCCCACAACTAAGCACCAGCAATTACACCAAAGCAATGCTAAGAAATTGTTTGTTTGCAACAATATTTAGTTACCCACAACAACAACAGCAACAACGCCAGCAATTGGAACTTGCCAATCGAATGAAGAACAGAAAGCAAAAAAAAAAAGTTACCAACAATTGGTAATATGAGAATGTGTTGCTCTTTTAGAGGTTTGTTTTTCTGGTCGTTTTTCTTGTATTTTCCCCCTTCGCCTCCCTAGCCAAAACCACCTGCACCATGCATTTTGGTGGCAATCAATGACCACAACATCATTGTTTGGCAAAAGAACTTAACATTAATGACAATTGCAGTAACTCACACAGCGGCACAGTGGGGCAAATTTTTTAATTTTTTTACGGGGATTTAAGAAGCAAAAAAGGCTTATATTTCCCTGTGAAATTTCAAAATCCGTAGAAAAGTAAAAAAACTAAATCAAAAATGGGCATTAGTGCGTATGAGTTGTATGAATTGTAAGGCCACGGGGTCGTATGAGAATTATTTGTTGAAGGGAGCACTCATACGCCCACACGTTTATTCTGTGGAGAGATATAGAGCCAATGGGAATTTTTCCATTAGATACAGAATTTTTTCAAAATCTGTTAAAGGATTTAATGATAATATTCCGTTCCCAAAAAATTCATAAGGTTTCCCAAGTGCGGGGAAAAGAGGAAAGGTGTTTTTCCTTCGTGGACAATTTTTCTTTGGCTTCTTATACTCAGCTGAAAAACGCCGCCTTTCAAAAATCAACTTTGTACCTTTTGCACAGCCTGGGTCGTCAGGGAGAAATATCGTCTTTTAGGGGATAGAAATTTCCTAGACATCACGAAAGAAAATAATTCCTCCAAAAATTTGAGATTTTTGGACTTCAACGTAGACATTTGTCCTTTCAAGGATACACGTTCTGCCTTCCAGAGTCTGGGACCTCAGGGACAAATTTTGCCTTTCAAGACTCTTGGACTTTACTGAAGGAATTTCGATTTTCCGAGTCCAAAACCAAGAGTACTTGAGATGCAGATAAATAAATAAATAAATAAAAAAATAAATAAATAATAATAAATAAATAAATAATAAACAAAATAAAATAAATTAAAAAACGGAAGTGCTTTTCGCTATAACTTCGGGGAAAATGGGAGGTATACTACCAAAAAATTAACTTTTTATGTAAAATGTAAACAAATCCTACGACCCTACGTTTGTCCTACTTAGAGATATAGTGCTCTCCTACATCTTCTTATATAAAGGACTTTTGAGAAAATTCCAAATTTCAAGGATTTAGTATTGGGAAGCAGAAAGACACAAATGTCAGACAAGGGTCGTACTCCAAGGAATGATGGGCAGTATTTGTGAAGTTGTAAATTTAGAAAATATTCCAAAATTTTAGAAG